AACGAAAATTTAGTTCGGTAAAAATCCGACTGAATCGACTTTTCAAAATTCCTACGGAGCTTCAAAATTATTCAGTCGAGACTCGAATGTCGGGATTCCAGTAGAACGTCGGTTGGATGCAATTACTATCACAAACTCACAATCAAACGATAGAACACAAAGTTAAAACAGTTTATTTTAAAACGTCCATTCTTAAAACAATGTGAACAAATGAAAATTTATAAAACTATTGCAACAATGTGAATGGGAAATTGAAAAGTTTTCAATAAACTGCACAAAACATCCCGAAACCACTGAACAGAAATATAACATCAGCAGAACTTTATCGGTGGAAATACAAATACCAGTAATAACTCAATATTGATGATGCACTCGTTCAATGTAGACGAATACACATTCACCAGTTCCTTCATTTGAATTAGTCAGAAGAGCTGATGATTAATTCAAAATTATTCCGAACTTGAAATCGAATGAAAAGTACCAGAAATAAAATATGATTTTTGAAACACGAACGTCAACGGATCGGAATAAGACATTACAGTAGATATAACAGAATCAATACGTTATTTTCGAAAGTTAAGCATTACTTCTCCTCAACAAGTGAACAATAGTTTTATGCAGAAGTGGGAAAATCTGACTGAAAAATGAGATTTTGAGAATTGATAATATTCGCAGAGCACATCATGTAATAAGTAATAAGGTCGGCAGTTCCAATAAGTGATCCTATTTCTACTTCGAACGAGATTCAGTGGCCGATGGAGATCAATCGAACTTCAGTCGACTTTCATAATACTTCAACAACATCTGAAATTCATTCACTATTCATTCCTGCTCAAAGTACTGCTAACCGAAAATAGCACTGATAACAATAGCAACCATAATAATTTCATGAACAACTAGACCGATACTATCCTCATCTTGCCTCTGCAATAAAATCAAAACGATCACTGACCTTTGGAGCGAAATCAATCAGAATGTTAGTAGGTATAAGTTCATAACTGGAATCGTCGTATTGAACAATAGCGATGAGATTCTTTTCGGTCATATGACCAGCCCATAAACCAACGACTTTACTGATCTTATGTCCCTCGTGTATTCCATATATGCCCGGTTGCCTCGTTGCACTACGCACCGTTGGTACTGCCATTTCATCAACCTGTTTCAATCGTTCTTTTTTGGCACTCTCATCAACGTCTTCCACAGTGACAGCTGAAATCATTTTTTTAAAAACTGTACTTACGATTACTAAAAACTCTTCAAAATCACTCATTTGCATCTATTTTCAGCATGTCTGTAAAGTATAGAGCAATATTGGATGTGACGATTAATCTTAAATAAAGCACTAGCGGTTATCTGATACTATTTTGCAACACTTCATTTTAGCTTCTGGAATTCCTCACAACCTATCAACTTTACCTATATGCAGTATTCCTTAAAATGAGATCAGTCCGGATACCTTGTTTGTTTGGTGATCCCATTTTGGTAACACTCGGTGAGTCCATCATCTGACTAGTATTCGATATATTACTTTGAGCAGAATTCTTGCGACTGTTTGTTGATTTTCTTGGTGAAGACGTCTGTTGTTGAGATATTTCCTGGGAATGTGCACTTGGCGATGCGTTCGGTATCTCGGAAATCTTAAACATAAAAGTACAGAAGTAATTTCGAATTTCAAGTCTCAAAATCGATCGTATTGACAAAACGATTCAAATATTACCAGTAAAGTGAAAGTATTTAAAATCGATGAAACCCCAAAAAAACATTTGGATCACTATCAAAAATTTTATGAGTATTCATGAAACTTGTTCGTTATGAAAAAAATCATAAGATGATGATTCGAATATGAAACCGAAAGTCTCAGTAATGAACAAAATACTGGAAAGAAAACGGTCAGATGTTCAGAACGAACTGAATAAATTCACCTGTGCAGTTTTTGCAGTTGATGCATCATCATTATTATTATTATTATCATCATTATCATCACCAGTTACTTTATTAAGAGACCGCTCGAATTCAGTTATAAGAGACATCGCGTCACCCTGAAATGATAATATCACACAACGTAATCAATAAAATTCCCGACACGAACAACAACATTTTTGATACCCATTCAAATCTACAAAAATTGTCAGTTAAATTCAACGCAAACTCCAACCAAATTATCCAACGGTTCCCAAGTATCATCTGAATCGTTCTCATATCCCTTCCACTTCACTCGATAGTGCAATACTCCATCCGATATGCGCTTGTCCGTTATTTTTTCCACTAGAAATTCGTCCATCTCCATTCCATTATTCTCAGTTGTTGATTTCTTATCATCTTCTTGCGGAAGTGTAATCAAAGTCTGCTCGTCTAGTTGTTTCGCTGATATTGGTGTGCTCTTTACAGATTCCTGCAATCGGCATCAACAACTGCATAAACTAATAACAATATACATCGTACAACTCGACTACTTACTGACAATGAGAATCAGTTCCTGAATTCATCATAAAACCAACTCTTCTTGGGCTAGTCACTGATGTTACTGGAGTTCTTCTCGGGCTACCCATTGATGATACTGAAGCTCTTCTCGGGCTAGTCACTGATGATACTGGAGTTCTTCTTGGGCTACTTCTCGTGGATATTGGAGTTGCCGAATGTCTCTGTTGTTCTGACTCAGGCTCTATGCGTGGCTGTTTCGAAGAGACCGTTGGAGCTGATTGCAGCAGTGACGCTGCAAGCACCTTCGAATTTGCCTTCGACAACGGACTGTTTTCAACAGCTGAAATTTAGTTTTTCTGAATTTATCACCATATACATGGTAAAATTTTATGCCCCAAAGAATATTACTCCCTTCACTCCCACTACTTTTCGCTAAACAATACATACAATTACTTTGCTTATAATTAGATATGCACTATTGTATTGCAGTCATCCCACATTCACCGGCAAATTGCACAGCAATCTCCAGTAATGTAAACCAGACGAATCCAATGAAATACAATGAGGAACAAAGGAATAAATATCTGATCTGAATCGATATGGACATTGACAAATGATGATCCTTCTATTAAGCTTGAAATATCCACATCAATATGTGATGCTCACAATTTTCAGAAGAAATTCACAAAAAAAGATAATTAAAGTATGAAGAACTTTTCGAAGCACTGCTGTCCAGTTGTTGTTTGGGAGTGACCGATTTCGAGCGATCGCTTATTGTTGGGCTATATGAGTGGCTTGATGAATGTGATGTATTCGGCTGTTGACGGTCATGTCCTAAATGATCGATACAATATTCGGTTTGCACGAAACCATTCGAGAGCGTTGTGGTGGTCAAGAATGCCGTACAAACCGGACGACAATTATCGGCCGTCCCGTTGCCGCCGACTGGGTTTGATTTTCTTAATGGAACACTGCAAAAAACGAGTGAATTTATTCATGAACGTTGGGTTCTTTTCAACATTTTTGGATTATGGCATCACATCTCGAATAATTTGTTGATGAAGGTAATGGTTTCGTTTCTTAATTTTCATTTCTCTAATTCGTTCGATACGCTCACATCTACTTGAGTAAAATTTTGCTCGCGTAATTCACGGCAAAATATTGGAATCTCAATATTTTGAAACATATTAAATATTATTTTCTTTTTAAAAAAATTGGTGCGAAAATTGATCAACTAATTTGACACTCACAATGAGCAACGATAATCGGTGACATCGGCTTGTCGATTCAGCAACACCACCGGTCCGATCAGGTCACAACGTTTCGTACTCATCCACTTCTTGAATTCAGCACCACTCAAACATTCGTTCCGAATTTGAAATTGTTTATTGGGGGCTGAATGCAAACTGCGTGCATGCGAAATCAACTCACGCAACGTCGTGAATTTACTTGCACAATCCGGACACATTATTTGCTGTGGAACTTGCTGAAATTTTATTGTCATTAATGAGTTCGTTTGTGGTATTGCAGATTCATTATTGCTCACTGTCATATCACTATTGTTATTGCTGATTGACTCTTACTTAAACTTATCATTATTGTTTTCATTATCGTTATAAATACCAACATTTCACTGGCATAACGGACAGAAAGTTAACTATTCCTTAACTATCACTATCAATTTTACTATTTCTGAACTAATATTGTGTTTTAATCGTCCCATTTACTAGACTTTCAGTAAATCCAGAAAATTTACTAGACTTTTAAGGCTTACGGACTGTACCACGAGATGACACTCTATATATATAAATAGGTAAACCTTGCTCAGATTTTGAGGAAAAATCCTCATGCTGGTCAAATGTTGTTGACGTTGTTGGTAGTGTTGTACTTGTTGTTGCAGTTGTTTACGGAGATCATTGGATGAAGCAGGTGAGTGATAGGGTACTTTGGTCGGTGGTGGTGAGAGTGGCGCTGAACGCTTCTTGACTCGACGATTCATCTGCAATTTTCGATTGATCACTAAAAGCTGCAAAATTTCCGGAAAATATCTGATGATCAAACGGTAATTTTTTGCAGTGAGATATCGCAATATAAATCGAACTATTCTGTTGCTGCATTCCATACGTTCAACGTTCACATGTGCTAACATCACACACAACCCATAAGGCAACTGATTTATTTAGAGTGGAGAAGATATTTTTGAAATTTTTGAAACTTTACGCTTGAATATCTACACTTCTGAACATCGTCATCTATCATTCTTCCAATGAATTCATTTTTGGTATGATAATAAAAAGCAGCACTTCCACTCAACGATAACAGATACAAACCGTCGTCAGCACTGTAATAAAAACACCGGCCGGCACTGTAAATCAACTGATAAATTGCATTTCATGTCATTTCCCACGGGTTCGTCGTTCGTTTCACTCACTTTTCAGCTGCGACATTCGCAAACGTTCAAAAGCATACGTTTGTAATCGTTTCGTCTGAAACGCTCTCGAAATGGCGATGTGCCTTGCCATCGGTGATTTGTTTTGTGTTCTGTGATGTGATTGAGATGGCTCTGATCGATTGAGTGTGTTTGCAAGATGGAGAGGGTGCTGGCCAGGGGCACGAACATCGTATGTACATACGACGAGAGAGTGTGTGTGTGTGTGTGTGTGTGTGTGCTGTGTTGTGCTGTAGGCGCAGCACGTTGCTGCTGCTGCTGCTGCTGCTGGTGCGGCGGCTCGCAACGCTGCACGCTGCTGGAAAGTGATGACGACGAGGTTTTTGATGCGTTATCGGGTTTTGAATTTTAAGCAATTTCAGTGCCCAGCAACGGTCTTTTCAGTTCTTCCAGCATTCAGATCTCGTTTCTTTATGTGCAAACGTTGATTTGTGTTTGATAATTTAGTCTCACTCGGCTCACCATAGCGCCTCACCATAGTGTTGGTGTGTTTTGTAAATGCTAGCACGAGCACCACTTCCTCACATTCTTCAAATTGTAGTCACCACTGTGCATGCTTGTGCAATTTTCTCTTTATTTTATTTTATTTTTTATCAAATTAACGCTCTTCGATTGGTTTATCAATTATTAATCGAGCGTAATGTGAATTCCTCAGAAAAATCCGTTCATTTCAATGCATATTGATTGAGTACCTTTGAGCTAGAGAAATGCGTGCGTGGGTGGGAAGGGGATTTATCTGCTGCATTACCCAAAATTCAACTGCGGGCTTTTCAAACGATCCAGAATATGCCATTAAAAGTGGGCTCAACAAAGCAGTTGATACCAGTTGAGGAGCATAAGTATTACATAAGTGATCGAACGAGTACCACTCTATTAGGAGTTTCTCTGCATATCCTATCCAATGATTATTCCAACTGAGTTGTTAAAATGTCTGCTTAGGGGAATGCAAATTCATTATCTTACTTCATATAAACATCGCGCTATCAACTCGAAACGAACTGGAACGTTGTGTTATGTGGCTTATGATATTGATTGTGGGCTTAGCGGAATGCGAAATAATTTCTAATCGCATAATTGAGAAAGCATCGAATGCACCACGGCTTGTTCATGCACACTGTCATTGCGGTGGTCATAAAACCTCAGTTCGAACGGAATGTGCATTGCATATGAACCACATAAACATGCGAACTTAGTGATGACACAAGTGATTATGTTAGCAAAGTAACGAACACATCGTGTCTTTTTCATGACATAAACCTTGCGGTTCGTCAGAATAAGTCAGTTGTTCATGACGTTATTCATTAGAATCTTCAGCGAATTGCTCATTTAAATATACATATTTTCTAGCCATTCAGCAATAAGGTTAAATCATCGTCTATTGTTATTATGTCTCTGATCACACGCGAACAGTCGAATACGTTCATTCGATTTCTGTTCCAGTTAACACCAATAGAATACGGGAAAATGACGTCTGTCTGTCCATGAATTCATGAATTTTCAATTGAATTTATTAACCGTCAGTCAAAGATCTGATTTGATCGATTCAAAAAGTGGATTACATTACTAGATTTAATGGATTACACTTGTTGCTCGTTAGAGACTATTTCATAATGGTGTCAATTATTCCACGCCAATGGAAGAAACCCAAAATTGAATTCATGAGGTTCTACCATTAGGATTTCGTATTTGTTTTTCAGTGTGCCGAAATTGGAGGTGAAAATTTCACAAAAATAAAGTGAAGTTCTTGTCTGATGATTTCTTTTATGCTGTCAGTTCACTTAAAAAATGAGTCGACTCTACTTAAGAATTGCTATCAATCGATATATTGACTGGCTTGATATGCCTGGGTAAATGTAACGCGTGACAATTTTCTATTCCAAGTTTTATTCGTGATCAATTTTACTCGTTACAACGATTTCAATTTGATTCCAACTTTCTTCATATATCGGTCACTAAAGCGAAATTATTCCATCCGTTTTACTTTTGCGCTATTCGTCTGTAATTTAATGAGAAATTGTGCGCTTAATTAGGAAGGTTTCATGCAAAAATTCTGTGCGAATAAACATACAATTTAAATTTTCGTTTTGAAACGTTGAACGTTATTATTTTTATTTGTTCTTCGTAAAAAAATTTCGAATTCAATTCGCTTGTTGTCGTCATTTGAATGCGAGTGCGAAATCAATTTAATTTAATCCGAGCGCATGAATCAGCCTGTCAGTGCGCTGTATTCGGTGCGAAAATGAGTCATTTCGTGTTTTATTTTGAATTGTGAATACTGATGCCGCGATCGTGATGAGATGCTAATGCTTTATAGCGTCATTTCCAATGTTCACTTTCTGAATCGATGTTCGGTTGGATTCTGTTTTGTAAATGAGAAAGAAAAGTAATCAGAATTCATAAAATCGTATCAGTTCGTAGAAAAACTAAGTCGTATTTATGATGGTCTTTGAAAATTTCAGGCTCGTAGCCGATATACCATGGAGGGTGATTTGGAAGAAAGTAACCCAAAAACAAATGATAGTTCAAGCGAAGAACAAGCTGTAGAGAAAGCTAAAGAGGAGGACGTTGAAGTGACTGAGTCAACTGAAAATTCGAACGAAGAAGAGGACACTAAAGCTTCGACGAGAGGTGATTATAGTTTCACATAAATTCTGTTTAGCACTTCTCGTATGCGAAGCAAGTTCGGATATATCAATCAGCATTCTTTCTCGTTTAGGTTTTTATCAGCATTTTCTTGTTTGGTTCTCTGTCCAGTGATGTTTCTGTGATCATTGCAAACAATGATAATCATATCAGTTGCGGTGAAATGGTGTTTCTGAAGGGTCGTGATGAACATGATCACAGCATTTTTCAGATGAAAAACCCGTGGAAGAAAAAGAGGTGATAGTAAGTGATGCGAAAGAGGCGAACGTCGATGAGGTCGAGGAAATCGCAAAGCCAGATTCAGATGAACGAACTTCAGAGGCTGAAGGGAATGTGGAGAGTGAGGCGGCTGTTGATGAACAGCCACTCGGATGGGATGCAGGTGCTGAACAGGTATCGTCCTCATTCTGTTCACACCTTATCTGAATGCCATCGAACTTCTTCATTATGTACTGAGTTCAACGCGAATCTATCAGAACCCACGAGCCATTTCTGTCCTCTCAAATTCGTCAAAACAAAGTGCTTCGAACAGTTTTTTTTGACGTTTGCGATTGATGTCAAAAAACTCGCCAATGACATCATGAAAAAAGCAACGAATGAAATGGCAAAAAGTGAAGGGACGGAAAGGAGGCGGAAAAGCTTTTTTCGTTGTTTTTGTTTTAGTATTTCGAGTGGTAGGGTGAGGAAGTTTCTGTGTTGTGAAATAGAGTTAGAGCGTGTTCTGAATGCTGAAGACGAATATGGTTATAGTTGAGGAGGGGAGCAAAGTGATTCAGCACATTCTCTACCCTCTCATCGTATTCTGCTTAAATGTCTCTGTATTGAGCTGAAGAGGTGGAAACGACATCTCAGATGGTGATTTTTTCTGGTGACCAAAAAAATGAAACCTGAAAACCATCGTCATTTCATCTTCAAGTTTGACATGACTAAATGAAGTCTGCATATATTCATATGTAAATGTGAATGATTAAAATTGAAGACGATGAAAGCACTTGAAGTGTTGACATTTAAATTTGCTTTAATTTCGTTAGATGCTTANATTCAAAGACGATGTGATTATGAGCTGTTGATTCATTGAAAGATTTCATTTATTCGTTCGATTCTTTTTTTGTTGTTGAACAAAGAAAAAACAAGCTAGCCGTGTACAGTACAATAGATGGAAAAGGGCAACAGAATTATTTTCTGCCTTTTAATGTAACGATTCTCTTTTGAATGTCGAACATTCGGAAGGATTCGTGAACAGTTCAGTGTATATGTGTATTTGCATTAGTTTGCGTGCATTGATTTTATTCTTTTCTCACCGAACGCATTTTCACACTTATATCTATCTTTGTGTATATACGTTCGAAAAAGTTGTGCATTTTCAAAGAGTCATTCATTCATTTCGTTTGTGCGTTCTGCAAAAATTTCATTGTAAGAATGATTCATTGAAACGGGACTTTAGTGCAACTGTAACACTGATTGCTGAGTAGTTTTGAGGGAAAGGTTCATTTTCGTATTCCTCATTCGTTTTACGTTGTGCTCTTTGCAAATAAGTTGAAGTATACGAAAAGTGGCGAAAGGAATTGACAGCTGAAAGTCATGTTTTTGGGGGGTATTCAGTCATGTTCTTGGGGGATTTCTGAACTGAAGATGCAAATTTTTCATGGTGAATTTTTGAGGTCAAAGAAATGGGATGGGGTGAATTGCCGCCTGAAAGCAAAGAAGCGCAAGCTGCCACTGATAATGGCGCGGCGTCATGGACGAATTCAGGTGAACATTCAGCTGAAAAGGTAAATGAATGGATGCTCTTATCCACTCGAATTGATTCATCGATTGATTGATTAATTGATTGATTGCTTTTTTTTTCTGCTTCTAATTTCCATCTTTTAAGCAAACTCATGATGGACAGAGTGTAAATTCATGGCATTTAAATGTGAACAATAATTTCGATTTGATTGCAGCCAACGGAACAGGAGACGAAACCAGAAACAAATGTGACGGTTGCTACAACGGCACCGTCTGCGAACACCAATCCTGCTCCATCTCGGGGCAAGGGTGGTCGTCGTGCGAATGCACGCAAACCCAAATACACTGATGTTACTGATCAACTTGGATTTGTAAGTTTTGCTTTCTGGATTTTCTTTTCAGAATCGTTTTCGTTCATTGTTTGTATTCAGCTTTTTTTGAGGCTCTTTATTTAAATTTTTGATTTGGTTTTTTGAATTATTCTTCCGATAATCCGATAATGAATTCTTCCGATAATCCGATAACTCATCTGATATTTTTTAAAATCTTCCCATTGTGTTGCATCATTTCATTGCACCGTGTCATCGTATTGCTATACCGCTCAGTCATCACTTGCATTATTTTTACGTTTGGTTATAATTTACTGATTGTGCTTTATTGGTGATGCGTTATTTACTCTCTTCATCCATCAACGTCAGTTATCATTTATGTGAGATCATGCGACTTTATGGTTTAATTTATTACGTTGCTCGCTGCGTTCGGAGTGATTTGGTTCGGAACGCGTTTGATCAAGGGATTTGCTCTCTTCTTGTGCATACGACACACTCGCGAAAATCCCTAAGAAAATTTATATCTCTTTCACAAATTCTTGAATGGAGCTCGCTGATCGAAAAAAATATTTATAAAAAGTAGTGAGCATTCTCGGATAACCTTTGCAGATTTCCGTTATGCGTTCGAAATTTCGCTTTTCCAAATATTTGGTTCTTGTGGGTCTTCTCGCATATGCTATTGTTTCTATTTCACATCATATTCCAGCAAATATTTTCATTTGCATCACTTGAAAAGCTTGTTTTCGCCCTAAAGAACTTTCATGTTCGTTTTAGATGAGATGATCACTGTTTTCATTCATTCTATAAACTGCCTTGAGGCTTATTCATATAAGGAGTATAATCAGCGCGGTGAATCTTCACAATAATGATTGCATCGAGCAGTGACAGCTCTAATATTATTTGCTTGTTATGTACAAAGAAAGCGATCGAGCACGATTGTTGAGTTAAAAAGAACTCAAAACCCAACTGTCCGAATCAATTAGAGGGATTTTGAATTGGAACAATAAACGAAAGATACAAATAATCATTGCACTCAGTGATTTCAATTATCGTTTGCAGTTTTTTAGTCAAAAAGAAGGTTGAAACTTTGCAAAATATGTTCGTAGTTTGTGTACATAATTGATTGATGGTTGGAGTGTGAGAGAGATGACTGTACTGGGTGAGATAAGTTTGCAAAATAGATAGATGTAGGTGAATGAGTGAATGTGTGTACAGAGCGAAGATTTTTGTGACGATTTTTTGAAGAATTGCGGTGGAACTGCGAAACAGTCGTTTTTTTGTGTTGATTTGTTGTCGTTGCAGCAGTGCTCATCACAATCATCGTCATATGGCAGGCAGTTCTCTTAACTCTTCTGAATGAAATGAAGAATTTCATCTTATTCTCATCGCTCTCAGATTTTCGTACCTCTTCGTGTAATGCCATTTAGTTCCGGCTTATGGCGGTGCATCGTTGTTCGTGTATGAATTCACAAATATAACCGTAAATCTATGTGAACACATACCGAACGGATTGCATTCCTTCCTTTCAAAAGTATAGTTGAGTCTCAAAAAATGAATACAGCTTTTGTTTGCGAATCCGTGTGCATCTGAGATGAACAANTCTTCAAGTTCACTTAAAAAATAACTGAAATATCATCGTACCTGTCTTCAAGTTTACTTCGCATTTTGGAATTTGGTAATTGTTTTGAATCTTTGTTGTTTTGAAATACTAATATTATTTCATTATGGTTGTTATTGTGTTGTTGTGGTTATTGTTGTTTCCCGTTGTATCATGTGTATATGGAAATAATGTTGTCATTGATTCATCCGTCTATTTTCACTTCTGCGGAAGGTTGAGCTGTGATTGGTTTTGTTTTGCTGTTTTGTATAATATATGCGTGTGGGCATATTGGCATAACGTTACCAATTGGGCGCCACCCACAACGACTAATATATTAGCAGTAGGAGTATTAAGTATAATGTATTTCTATGAACATTAATAATGGTAGGTACATAATAAATCGAACATCGAAGGGGAATGTATGTAAAGGAGGGAAGAAATGGGAAATGATGCAATAGAAATGGTTTCAGATCGTTGTCTGTTTCTTGACCTTAACTCCGTGTCGATTAGAGTAAGTCTTATTAGAGCAAGCAGCAGTATGTGTGTGTTTGGATCAACGACCCTCATTTACGTAAGAAGTATTATCGTGCACACACCTGTATGATTATGCAGTCTGTCTAACGGTTATCCATCCATTCACCCATCCTTCTACAAATAATTGTTTTAACACTTCATCCTATTCGCCTATACATAACACTTCCATTCATTCCTATGTTGTCCTGATAATGATGTTTGTTCATCTCATCTCGTCTCCCAAATGCCCATCTGACAATCAGTGGAATGTTATCAGTTTGTGTGGTTATCAGTCATTCTCCATCTTATCACTATCACAACATCCCGTTGCCTTTACAACCTTTCGGTACTCTTCAATTTTTGTTGCCATTCGATTCGTCTTTCGTTTGCGATTGATTGTATCAAATGAATCGTTAATTCCATTAGCTACTTCCTTGTGCATTCGTTAAGAATCGAAGGAGAATGCCACACCCCACACCCCGCAAATTCACGGCAAATCACACAGTCAAATTCCTTGCATTCTTATTTTGATGATTAATTGAAATAAAAAAAGATAAGAGGTGAACTCAAATTCAATATGAAAATGTATTTCAAAGATATGTGGAGTAAATGTATATCTTGAACGAACGATAGTGACGAATGTGTTAACGATACCTATATTTGAAGATCAAAAATTAATTTTTGTGCTTCCTTTATTCATTGACAGTGTCATTAATTTATCAAGAATTAAATGGTGATGATTGATAATGAGTTGTTACATTCCATTCTAATCTCTTTTTCTTCACTTACCCAATTCATAACTCCTTTTTCATTGTTTTCAATGTTTGTCTCATGTTTCATTTATCGAGAATCAACCTCAACGAATCACTTCTGTTGAATTCTTAGCATAAATGAATTTTTCGTTGTTGTTATGTGAATTTGAGTGACAGTTATAATGACACAACATGAGTCTATTAAGAAAATGTTGATGTGTAGAGTCATATGGATAGTGATTGAGAAGAATGTTCGCAGCATAACTTCATGCTAGAATGACAAGTCAACTTTTGTGAATTGTTCGCTCAAAAAATTTCACCGATGAGTGAATCTAAACAGGAAATGAAAGAGTTTTGCGTGCAATGTGCAGGTGTGGAATTCTTGAAACGTTCAGTTGCTGTGAACGTTTTAATGACTCTGCGACAAAAATGTCTTCAATATGTCAGCAGATTCACAAAATCGTTTAGTGCCATCATCAAATTCCGTTGATTTCAGTTCCGTTCGGTTTTGTTCCATTCACGAAAATAAGACTAAATAAATATTCGAAAAACCCGTTTTACGATTCGAATCACTTATGAGCAACGATAAAATTATTTAATGGCTCTAAAAAACAGCAAAAATTTTCGAATGAAATTGAATTCCTTGCCATAATCCCATCAGTTATGGGTAAGGACAAATATCCACTTGCGGATTTTTTGTTTTTCCGGTCATAGGTCAGTCTGTAGAGAAGTGCGAAGGGAGGCAATGACACCGTCAATATTGTAGCTTCTGTGTGTCTGTGCATGTGCGAAACACGAACTCAATTGGGTCATCAATACGATCACGCTCGTTATTACTAATGATCACCCGAACATTCTAAACATTCTTCAGCAACATTTCACTGATTATGAGAATAATTTTTGCTGATTACCATTGCAGATCCGTCTTCTTTTCCATCTTTACGATTGTTTATTGATATTAATCACTGCGCTCTCTTTCAGTTTCCACTTCATCTCATATGTTTTTAATCGTGTGCTATCAAAATTGAGTGAATCAATTTGATTTCCATTTCTGTCAGCGGGGAAGTTTCAGTTAAATATATATCAGTGTAAAATCTTGTGAACCTAATCAAGCTTTCGTAGTAGAATAACTCTGAAGCGTTTCAGGGCTTTGCGATATTGTAACGTTTCTTTTCCGTATAGAAGGCGGATTGCGGAAAATTAATGCGTGGGTTTATTGTTGCTAATTGGGTTTAGGTTTGCGTTGTATCGTTTGGTTTTAATGAGCCAGTCTGAATTGTGCATCCCACTTACATTTAGTTATTCTGCTCTTGATGTGTAGGTGGAGGGGACAAAAGGAACTTACGTCCGTAAGCATCATTTTTAGCATTCGTTTTCATTTTCTTTTTTTTTTCGACGAGAACATTTCCACTTGCATCTTTTCGTTTAACAATTTTCTTGCTTGCTGACATCATTGCATTTTTTAAAGCGCTCATCGTCAGCAGAAAATTCGAGCAGTGATTAAGTTCCATATTGATTGACCCTAGACACGAATGATGCGTACTATACATCATCACATCATTGCGTGTAGGCGGTAATTGGTATCGAATTGCAGTTGAGGGTGATATTTGGAGTTGAGAGTGAACGAATAATGAAAGTACGAACGCAGAACACAAATAATAAAAGCTTGTAATAAGCATAAATGCGCTCACCCATAATGACGTCGTCGTACATGCACAACATCTGAGGAGTGATTGATATGAACGATGGATGTTGCGTTGCTGTGTGCTTAAAACAGTGACGTCAACTCATTTCCATTTGCTTTGTATGGGCGATCGTTCTTTTCATTCATTCATCACATTTAATTTCTTTGTTGTAATACCATAAGGCAGGCAGGAAGTTGTGCTGCATAAAAGGAGATGAAGTATTGCCGTTGCGTTGCTTAGTTGGAAGTTTTAATTGTTCACATGCATCCATGAGAATAGGACAGTTCTTGGTTGATTCAGGTGAATGCTCCTGAACTTGAAATGAACGTTTACTCGGGAGTTTTTCTTCAGAATTTCATAGGAAACTATTGTAGGTCGGGCTGGCGAGAAAAACCCGAAAGTTCTCATATCAATGAGAATGTTGTCATAAATTTGACCATGAACGTTTGGAAAATTTTGTCTGACTGAGAGATTTATGTATTTGTGATCACGAGTTGCTCTTATTTTTGATGCCGTGTAGTCAATGACTTGGTGTTATTACTGTTATTTTTAAATCAGTCGAGGTGTGAATGTGACAACAACTGTCGTTACATTTTTGTTTTACTCTCCTCTGAAGTCATCTTCCTCAGTTTTTCAATGGAATAATCCTAGAATAACAAGTGAAAAATAAAATTACGTCGCGATTAGATGATAGGTGTGGTCGATGTTCTGTGGTGATAAGGAGGATGCAAATGGATGTGGGGAGAACGAAATTTTATGGACGATTGATTGAATGAATTTTCTGGGAATAAATGGAATATGAGATGAGAAATCCATTCTTGCAGATAATTTTATCTCATCCATTTCTTGAACCCAACTGTGAATGTTAATGAAGATTTTGGAATTTTTCACGGTGTGCGATTAGTTTTGTTATTGCGTTGCGGTCTTTGTTGATGTTAATGCATGCATGATTGGATGATTCAATCTGAAGAACTTTCTGTGAAATCTTTTGATTAGACAAATACTTTTGGTGAATGTTTTGGAGTGCTCTCTCTCATCATCAGTCAGCAAATGAGAAATTGATTCATCGAAATGGAATGAGTGCTCGATTACTAGGAAAGCGACAAATATTGTTTTCGTCTGCGGTTGTTTGCGTATTTGTGTTTGTGATTTTTCGGAAATTTGCATTTGATTTGCTTTGTTCTTGACCGAGACCGTTGAGAGATTGGGTGAATTAATTGTTCATGTGTTGTTACGTTTGAGATGAATTGCTTGCGGATAAATAAGAAGTGTGGCATTTGGGAACATCAAGACGTAAATCCTGTATTATCAGTTGCTTTTTATTATGTGATAACAAATATTTTGACGAATGTATTTTAATTGCGTTGAAGTCGAATTTCAGTTCACTTAATCAATATCGAATGGTTTTTTTGACTGTAAAAAAGTTCATTTCGATCGTCTCAACTGTTTACTCAATGCTCTTTTTCTTTTCAAACTGACTGACGCTAATTGTGAGTCAGCATTCTTGATTCGTCACGGATGTAAGTGAATTGAGTTGAGTTGTATTCGAGTTTGAAATGAACTCAAATGTGACTGATTCGCTGGTGTGTTTGTTGTTCAATAACAAACGACATTCCATTTTGTTCCGTAGCAAATTTTTCGGTGCAGTCGTGCTGTGTATTGTTTCGTAATCGTTATTTGCTTGCGAATTTGCTGAGTGATGGATGCTCGGTACCATAACTCATGATGGTTTATTTTATTCACTCGTTATACTTGAGAGTTAACCGCTAGCTTTATTCATTTAGGAAGAGATATTGG